TTTGCTAATGTCCTCGAATAGTGGTCTCCAAACTGTGGCCTGAGGGCCAGATGTGGCTCTTTGTTCGTTTTTATCTGGCCGTTGAATCACCATTTCATCTACAAATGCCCACCATGGGGCTTGATCCCCCCCCCCCCCCACACTCACATCAGTAAAGGGGCAAAATTCCTCCCAATGACACCAATGATAAGGCACAATTCCTCCTAGTGACACCAAGCATTGGGCCCAATGACACTAATGATGGGGGCACAATTCCTTCCAATGACACCATCGATGGGGCACAATTCCTCCCAATGATGCCAATGATAGGGTACAATTCCTCCCACTGACACCAAAGATGGGGCATTGTTTTTTTTCCCACTGACATCAAGACCTTTTCTACTCCTAATGGCAACAGCCTAGCCCATCCTCCCTAAAATCTGAACGACAGCCTCTTGTTTAGAAATTGTGGAGACCCTTGTCCTAAAAGAATGAACAAGAGCTTTCCATCCCTAGTAATATTCTGTGAGATAAATCATGTCTTTTCTCCGATATAGTCTGGATCAACACTTGGTCCTGAGTAGCACCAAGGGTCAAATCTTGTTCCTAGTGAGGACCGCTTTCCTCTCACTCCTTAGGAAAAACCTTTGAGAAGGGTGTCACTGACATTGTTTCCCCTGTATATTCACCAGTGACTCAATGGGATCTCAACCTGGTTCTGTCGGTTCTTCAGAAACTACTTTTTGAACCAGTCTGGAATATTCTCCTGCCTACTCCACATAGACAAGGTTGTGTTGAGGCCTAAATCATCTTTTCTTCCAAAGGTTGCCTCTTTCTTTTCCTTAACCATGACTGAGGGGCATGCAGAATATCGAGGCTAATCACTTACTAGCCACCTAAATGTCAGGGCAGGGGCCGAGGAACGGACAGGCAGGCCTAACAATGTAACGCACTGGTTGACGACAACCACCACCCACAGACCGAAGTCCCTCAGGGCGCGGAGTATAAGTCCCAGGCTGCCCTTCACCAGGGCCCCTGATGGTGGGGATGGACTTGACGCAGCCAGGAACCAGGTCGCGGCCTCCGAGACACCCCAGCTGCGGTAATGGCCGCCACCAATGGCGTGTAGCTGGTGGAAGAGACAAAAGAGTAGTCAGACAGGCCGGGTCAACAACAACAGGACAAAACAGTACAGGACAGCAGACGAGAATCACAGGTCACGAGCCGGGTTCAGCAACAGAGGGTCAGATCAAAGGAGAATACAAAGAATAGTCGAGTACAAGACGAATCAGATACCAGGAGAGTCACGAGAGTCAGAACAGAGTAATAGCAACACCAAGACACAAGACACAAGTGCAAAGAGCATGTGCGGGCCACAGGCTTATATGTCATCAGCCACAACCCTCTGGGGGATGGACCTCAGAGACCAGAAGGCATAAAAGGATTCCCACCATGCACAGCAGAAATCCAAGATGGACGCCAGCACATGGAGTAACATAACCTCAGGGAAAAGGTAGGACCTTGACACTAATAAAGACAATCACCCCTCAACCTTCCCCCACCTGAAATAACCCCACAACTCTCCTTCTATGGTGTCAAATGGCCATAGCAGCCCATTTATTTAACATAACAACTATTACAGAACAATGCATCAAGTACAATCAATGTATTAACTGAACAGTAGTGATCCCAACCGGGTCCAAGGTCTTCGAAGGCACTGATAATCACATCAAATAACCTGGCTGTATCTGCCACCCAATGAGAAGGCCCCCAGCTGCTACTACACTGCCTCGAGGACAATGCTACAGCTACATAGTCCCAGATACAGTCCATTAACTCTAACATTACTAACGTAACCTTATAATTGGGAAGGGACACCCATATCTACAATGGGCCCAACCCATAATCTTCAAAAATGTGACTCCATCGCCGCCTTCAAAGACCCAGCGACCCCTGACAATTGTCATGACAAAACACAAGGACAATGACCCCAAGACATAAAATCCAAATAAAAGAAAGAAAAACAAAAAGAGCCCAAAACAGGCAAGACAAACACAACGAACAGAACCAGGAACATCAAACAAAAAAAACACCAACTAATTAGGTCCAGGGAGGGAGGGCGGGAGAAACCTCACCAGTGCTGCCACAAGCACCGACTGACCCCCGACAAGTCCAGCCCCCTCTCCTCATCCTGGAGAACCTCCCTCTTCACTCAAACCTCCAATCAAGTAAGCCACCACCCCTTACTAATGAATATACTCCCACCCTATTAGAATCTCCGCCTCATCTGCAAGCCCCAGTCATGCTGGCCCTCTGCTAAGCTTTGCTCAGTTCCAGCCCATGTACTGGACATTGTTCTCCCATGTCGCTCAATGCCATCCCAAGGAGATTTCTGTCAACTGTCTGGATGTGGTATACGCTGTTAGAGTCTACATCTCTGTAACGGTCAGGGGTCAGGCTCGGAGAACGGTAACTATAGCAGTACAGAGGCTCCCACCAAACAGCAGGATAAGTACACAAGAAGGTCCCCCTGGTGGATGATGAGGGCTCACCTGAGGTACGAGGTCTAAGTATTAACTGGTCTTCACAAGAGCTCCTGATGGTGGAGATGGATTTTGCTGTACCAGATCGTGGTCCTCAGTATCACCCCAGCAGGAGGTGAGCAAGTTGGGTCCAGTAGTAGATATAGCAAGTAGGGATCATGCAGAAGCATAGTCAGTAAACAAGCCAAAGGTCGGTAACAAATGGTTGCAGGTTGGGATCAAGCAGAAGCATAGTCAGTGAACAAGCCAAAGGTCAACAAGTGGTAGCAGAGAGATACGGACAGCAGCAAGAAATACAAAGTGAGATATTGGCTGAAGAGGGCACAATATTCAGGAAGTGCAAAGGCATGGCTAAAACAGGATCAAAGGCTTCAAAGTTCAAGAGAAACAAGGTTCAAAGCAAGATCTTTCAAGAATTTTTCCAGGTGGCTCAGCAAGAAGTGACATCAGCAGAGGTTTCAGGTTCAGACCCAGATCCTGACACCGACTCTTTACTTGCTATTCTTGAGGAGGACAACCTTCCTCTAAATATCTTCAGTTCGATTCAGAAGCTTATTATTCTAGCCTATGAAGTTAAGAACAAGGTCCAACCTTTACCATTCTTTCAGGAAACACTCCACCAGACCACTTAATGTTTCCCATCATTGGTGTCAGTGGGAGGAATAGTGCCCATTCATTGGTGTCAGGGGGAGGAATAGTGCCTCATCATTGATGCCACTTGGAGAAATAGTGCTCCTATCATTGGTGTCAGTGGGAGGAATAGGGCCTCATCATTGGTGTCAGTTGGAGGAATAGTGCCCCATTATTAGTGTCAGTGGGAGGAATAGGGCCTCATCATTGGTGTCAGTGGGAGGAATAGTGCCCCATCATTGATGTCTGTGGGAGGAATAGTGCCCCATCATTGGTGTCAGTGGGAGGAATAGTGCCCCATCATTGATGTCTGTGGGAGTAATAGTGCCCCATCATTGGTGTCAGTGGGAGGAATAGTGCCCCATCATTGGTGTCAGTGGGAGTAAACAATGCCCCATTGTTAATAGGGGAGAAATAGTGCCCCATTATTGGTGTCTGTGGGAGGAATAGTCCCCCATGATTGGTGTCAGTGGAGGAATAGTGCCCCATCATTGATGTCATTTAGAGAAATAGTGCCCCATCATTGATGTCAGTGGGAGAAATAGTGCCCCATCATTGGTGTCAGTGGGAGGAATAGTGCCCCATCATTGATGTCATTTGGAGAAATTGTGCCCCGTCATTGGTGTTAGTGGTAGGAATAGTGCCCCATTATTGATGTCTGTGGAATGAATAGTGCCCCATCATTGGTGTCAATGGGAGGAATAGTGCCCCAGCATTGATGTCATTTGGAGAAATAGTGCCCCATCATTGGTGTCAGTGGGAGAAATAGTGCCCCATCATTGGTGTCAGTGGGAGGAATAGTGCCCCATCATTGGCATTAGTGGGAGGAATAGTGCCCCATCATTGGTGTCAGTGGGAGGAATAGTGCCCCATCATTGGTGTCAGTGGGAGGAATAGTGCCCCATCATTGGTATCAATGAGAGTAATAGTGTCCCATCGTTAGTGTCAGTGAGAGGACAAGTGCCCCATGGTCGATGTCAGTGGCAGGACTATGCCCCACTGTTACTGGCAGTGGGGGTAATAATACCCCAAGGGTCGGATAAAAGCAAGCAAAGGGCCACATCTGGACCACAGTTTGGAGACCACTGCCATAGACCAAGGGTGGATCTAGGGGGTGCTGGGGTGGGCTGTGCCCGCCCCTCAGATTTTACTTGTGCCCTTCCAGATCTCTGAGAGTGCATCCACTGATCCATGTCTGAGCCAGTCTGATGCAGACATTTGATGTAAGGGGGCACTCTGATGGGGGCAATCAATTTAAGGGGACACTCTGATGAGGACAATTCATGTAAGGAGGGGCTCTATTAAAAACACTGATGTAAGGGGCGCTCTGATGGGGCACCTGATGTAAGGGGGCTCTCTGATGGGGACACCTGGTGTAAGGGGGAACTCTGATGGGATACCTGATGTAAGGGGGTACTCTGTTGGGGACACTCTGATGTAAGGGGGAACTCTGATGGGGATACCTGATGTAAGGGGAACTCTGATGAGGACACCTGATGTAAGGGGAAACTTTGATTGTGACACCTAATGTAGGGTTCACTCGAAAGAGACACTGATGTAAGGGGGCTCTCTGATGGGGACACCTGATGTAAGGGGGCGCTCTGATGGAGACACTGATGTAAGGGGGCACTTTGATGGGGAAACCTGATGTAAGGGGGCACTCTGCTGGGGGACACTTGATGTAATGGGGTACTCTGATGGAGAAACTGATGTAAGGGGGCACTCTGATGGGGACACCTGTTGTAAGGGGGCACTCTGATGTGGACACCTGATGTAAGGGGACGCTCCAATGAGGACTCAATGAAACAGGGGAATCACTGATGTAAGGGTGCACTCTGGTAGGGACTCCTGATGTAAGGGGGTACTCTGATGGGATCTGATGTAAGGGGGCACTCTGATGGGGACACCTGATGTAAGGGGGCGCTCTGATGGAGACACTGATGTAAAGGGGCACTCTGATGGGGACACCTGTTGTAAAGGGGCACTCTGATGGGGACACCTGATGTAATGGGGGTACTCTGATGGAGAAACTGATGTAAGGGGGCACTCTGATGGGGACACCTGTTGTAAGGGGGCACTCTGATGTGGACACCTGATGTAAAGGGACGCTCCAATGAGGAAAATCAATGTAAACAGGGGCTTAATTAAAGACACTGATGTAAGGGTGCACTCTGGTAGGGACTCCTGATGTAAGGGGGTACTCTGAAGTGGATCCTGATGTAAGGGGGCACTCTGATGGGGACACCTGATGTAAGGGGGCGCTCTGATGGAGACACTGAATGTAAGGGGGGTGCTCTGATGGAGACACTGATGTAAGGGGGCAGGGGCTTAATTATGTAATGGGGCACTCTGATGGAGAAACTGATGTAAGGGGGCACTCTGATGGGGACACCTGTTGTAAGGGGGCACTCTGATGGGGACACCTGATGTAAAGGGACACTCCAATGAGGAAAATCAATGTAAACAGGGGCTTAATTGAAGACACTGATGTAAGGGTGCACTCTGGTAGGGACACTTGATGTAAGGGGGCACTCTGATGGGGATGATGTTTTTAATGGGGAACTCCAATGAGGATATCAATGTAAACAGGGGCTTAATTAAAGACAATGATGTAAGGGGGTACTCCTGATGTAAGGGAACCTGATCTACTCTGATGGAGACACCTGATGTAAGGGGGCACTCTGATGGGGACACCTGATGTAAAGGGGGCACTCTGATGGACCTACCTGATGTAAGGGGGCACTCTGATGGGGACACCTGATGTAAGGGGGGTACTCTGACGTGGATCCTGATGTAAGGGAACAGTCTAATGTGAGGGGGCCACCTTGATGGGAACCTGAAAAGGGGGACTCTGACTATGATATGGGAGGCACAGGTTTTGTCTAATCACCCGAATCTAATGACATCTATTACATAATAGTTTTTCCCAGGTAATGGCACTAAATGACAGACTGTCAGTGACTCACACACAGTGTTGACATTACACCTCCGATATTTTTTTTTCACTGCACCCCCAGATCAGATAGGCTACATCCAGCCCTGGCATAGACTGTCAGAAGTGACTCACACAGATAGCAGAGGAATGACACAGCAGACATAAATCACACTCAGTGCTTTGGATCAAGGAAAGTACACACTATAAAGAATGCGCTTTGTTCATTTTTCATTTCAGAGATTTACAACCACTTTAACTTAACAAAGCCCCGTTTACTATGAGTCACCCGGTTGTGTGCGGAGAACTTTACAAGGAAATAGAAATTTCCTATTTATACGAAGTGAGTACAGCTGCATGGAACACGGTGAAAGATCAACTCTTCTCTCTGCCTATGTATCTGTTTTATCAATGACAAGAACTATTATTGTGATTGGTTTTCATTTCGTAACGTTCCATGCAGGGCGGACTGACAACTTATGGGGCCCCCGGGCAATAGGGGATCATGGGGCCCCTGTGTCCTTGCCCAAACTCAAAAAAGCCTATGAAAAAGATACCAGGGGCATCTCATGGGGCCCCTACTGACCCCGGGCCCTCGGGCAGTGCCAAGTTTCCAAATGGTCAGTCCGCCCCTGCTTCTGGAACATAGGAGGTTGGGTAAAGCAAATGTGGAGCCTGAATATTTGATGTGCTTTAGTCAATCCCTGGGGAGGTGGGCCCAGTAGGTGACAGGAGAGCACATAAATAGTTTGAGGCTTGGAGAAGCCTACTGGAGGAATTCCCAGCCTGAGGGGTTCTGCCCCTCTGAGCATACTGCTGGAACATGCTTATTGTTCACTGTCCCAGCTGTGACAAAATTTTGGGGGGGGGGGGGGGGGGTTACTTCTAAAAGCCTTCTCTGAAGCTAATCAAGGAAATTTCACCTGAGGATCTGGTCTGGAAGACTCACTGAAGAGCGCCCAGTGGAAGTTAGAAGGGGTCTGACTGTCCTGTGGTATCATGGGGCCCCTGTGTCCCTGCCCAAACCAAAAAAGCCTATGAAAAAGGTACCAGGGGCATCTCATGGGGCCCCCTACTGACCCCGGCCCTCGGGCAGTGCCCAAGTTTCCAAATGGTCAGTCCGCCCCTGGTTCCATGAAAACCTCCAACAACCCAATATGAAGACCAGAGAGGACCTTCCATAGTACCAATGTTCTTCTCGTGCTATCTGGATTCTTCGTGTCTCACAGGGATGATTTTCTACCAACTTACAGCTGGCTTCCGGCTACAGAAATACCCGAAAGGATCGAATCACCTCTAACATATAAATACAATAAATTGTTGAGATTTGTTGCCTTCAGTCAAAAGTTGGTTGAAAGAACACATCGTGCCAGTTACACGTTGGGCCCAGTACTGCGTGGACCTTGAAGAAGGGGACATACCCCGAAAGTTCATCCTCAAAATTGTATGTGAGTGCAAATAAAAAAAGTATCACGGACAGTACTCAATTGTTTCTGTCACATTGGACCCAGAAATTATCGGCAATACGTCAATAAAATGGCCCAGGATGCTACATTTATACTATATCCCCAAATAGACAATGAACTGCCAACACATGTTCCTTTGGAACACTACAAGAAACGGAGCTTTCTCTATTTTTGACATTTCTCATTTATTTATTTATTTCAGGTACTTATATAGCGCTGTCAATTTACGCCGCGCTTTACATATATATTGTACATTCACATCAGTCTCCGCCCCCGAGGAGCGTACAATCTAATGTCCCTAACTCACATTCATACATACACATACTAGGGACAATTTAGACAGGAGACAATTCACCTACCAGCATGTCTTTGGAGCAGGGGCGGACTGACCATTTGAGCACTCGGGCACTGCCCGAGGGCCCGAGGTCAGTAGAGGGCCCCATGAGATGCCCCTGGTACCTTTCATTGGCTTTTTCATAGGATTTTTTGGGTGTGGCAAGGACACAGGGTCCCCATGATCCCCTATTGCCTGGGGGCCCCATGAGTTGTCAGTCCACCCCTGCTTTGGAGTGACATTTCTCATGAATGTCACAATTTGTTTACCATATCAGGGGCGTCCCTAGGGTTGGTGTCACCCGGTGCGCTTACACTTGGTGTCACCCCTCCTACGATGCCCACGGGATGGATCGGATCTGCGGATTGAGCATAATGGATCGGAGTCCGATCCCTTATGCTCCCCAATCCACAGATCCGATCCATCTTGCGGGGATCGTCGGCTTTGCAACCTATACGAGGTTAACTGATCTCTCGATGAGCTCCATGAAAAGGAACGTTTTAAAGCAAGCCGAAGATCCCCGTAAGATGGATCGGATCTGCGGATTGGGGAACATAATGGATCGGACTCCGATCCATTATGCTCAATCAGCAGATCCGATCCATCCTGCGGGGATTGTCGGCTTGCTTTAAAACGTTCCTTTTCATGGAGCTCGTAGAGAGGGCCCAGTGTCACCCCGTGCGATAGGTGTCACCCGGTGCGCTGCGCACTCCCCGCACCTGCCTAGGGATGCCACTGTACCATATAATTATGAAGGTTGCCATTTTCTCAGGTTTTGCACACATGTTAACTGCTTCCCTGCTGCCCTATAGCAGAACTACTGCTGCAGGGCTGCTCAAAATCACGTATATATACGTGATTTCACATTTCCAGGTAGGAAGCGTGCATGGCGCACTACCTGCACCGCCATTGGCGGCTACAGATGCCGATCACCGGGTCCTGGCCAGAGATTCCCCACCGGCACCCGGGGATCTCCGTGGAACAGTGACAGGGGAGAGATCTGTGTGTAACAACAAAGGTCTCTCTCTTGCCAGCAAGGACATGCTGCTTTGTATCTCTCTGCACAGCATGTCTCCCGAGTAAAACACTCCCAGCACACAGTTAACCCTTTGATCACCCCTCATGTTAACCCTTTCCTGCCCAGTGCCATTAGTACAGTGTCAGTGCTTTTTATTAGCGCTGATCACTGTATTGGTGTCATTGGGAAGTCAGTGACACCAAGTCAGTTCCCCCCCCCAGTGTCAGAATGCCTGCTTCAGTCCCGCTATAAGTCGCTGATCGCCGCCATTACTGGTATAAAAAAAAATCCAATATATACCGCCATTTGTAGACGCTATAACTTTCACGTAAACCAATTAATTTACACATATTGGGATTTTTGTTTAGCAAAGACGCGGAGCAGAATCCATTTTGGCCTAAATTTATGACGAAATTTGAATTTTTAAATTTTTTTTTTTACTGGATATGTTTTATACAAAAAAGTTAAAAATCTAGTTTTTTTTTTTTTTTTAATTGGTGGTCTTTTTTGGTTTATAGCACAAAAAATAAACAACGCAGAGGTGATCAAATACCACCAGAAGAAAGCTCTATTTATGGGGAAAAAGGACATAAATTTCATTCAGTTGCAGCAAAGCACGACCGTGCAATTGTCAGTTAAAGTAACGCAGCGCCGTATCGAAAAAAATGGCCTGGTCAGGAAGGGGGGGGGGGGATCCTTAGCAGGACGAGGGGTTAAAATGCACATTTTAGACCTGGAAATTAGTAAAATCCCCCCAAACAGTATATATATTTTCTAAAAGCCGAGACCCTGGAGATTAAAATGGCCGCAGTTCAAATTTTTTTAAGTCACACTATCTATCTATCCATGCAGTCGTATCCGACCCTTGGCGATTGAACGGACTGTCACTCGGAAGCGACTTCTTCCACGAATTCTCTTAGCAATTATTTTTACAGGGTAGGTTGCCAGGTCTTTCCCCAACCCCCACCATGCAGGAGATCCCACATGGCCAGGGATGAAACTAGGACAATTTAGACAGGAGCCAATTAACCTACCAGCATGTTTTTGGAGTGTGCGAGGAAACCGGAGTACCTGGAGGAAACCCAAGCAAACACAGGGAGAACATGCAAACTCCATGCAGGAGGCGCCATGGTTGGAAATCGAACCCATGACCCATTTACTGCACGGCAGACGTGCTAACCACTAAGCCACTGTGCTGCCCAACACAATATTAGGGCGCATATTTATCGAATGTCTGTTTTCAGCTAAAAAAAAAAAATACACTAAATTTAATTTTAGGGCACACAGACATAATGGGGTTGATTTACTAAAACTGAAGAATGCAGAATCTGGTGCAACTGTGCATGACAGCCAATCAGCTTCTAACTTCAGATTGTTTTGTTAAGCTTTGGCAAAAAAAAAACCTGGAAGCTGATTGGTTTCTATGCAGAGCTGCAGATTTTTCCTTCTCCGGTTTTAATAAATCAACCCCAATATATTCCGCTCTGTGAGGACGTCAAGTGACGAAATGCGTAGGGTAGAGCCTTGAAGTGACGTCACCACGCCCAGTCAGCGGACACCGAAGCGGGCTTTTTTGAATTTGTGCTGTATACGCTGTTCAAGCTAATGTCGGCTTTGACATTATGGAATGTGAATGTAATTTATGAACTGTTTTCTATGAATAAAATTGCCGTATGATTTTACACTATCAGTTCCCTCTCTCTTCCTTTATGAGTGTGTTTGAGGTCAAGAAGATATTATTGTGCATTGAATCGCCTCCCAATTGCCGGCCATCAATCTGCAGATCATTGCTCCCAGAGCGAAAGTGTGTGTGCTGGTTTATAACTTGACCAGCATGTTGCTCTGGTGAGTTTTTTTAATTCATCTGCTGGTGGATTTTTCACGGTTTTGTGTTTATTTCAAGAATTAATCATTTGGAGCGCTGAAGTTTAAGACAACAATTTTTTTTTTCCTCTTTATTAATTTGCACATTGGAATTTGATTGATGCAAAAAGTTTTTTTCCACATATTTTTTTTTATATCTAAGGACACTGCTATTGGACATATTTTTGATGCTTGATATTGATTTTTTAGAGTATATACTGTATTTTTTGCTCCATAAGACGCACCTGACCATAAGACGTGCCTAGGTTTTAGAGGAGAAAAACAAGAAAAAAAATATTCTGAACCAATGGACTGCAGACAAAGTACAGGAGATGACCAGAGACTGCGGACACAGTACAGGAGATGACCAGAGACTGCGGACACAGTACAGGAGATGACCAGAGACTGCGGACATAGTACAGGAGATGACCAGAGACTGCGGACACAGTACAGGAGATGACCAGAGACTGCGGACACAGTACAGGAGATGACCAGAGACTGCGGACACAGTACAGGGGATGACCAGAGACTGCGGACACAGTACAGGAGATGACCAGAGACTGCGGACACAGTACAGGGGATGACCAGAGACTGCGGACACAGTACAGGAGATGACCAGAGACTGCGGACACAGTACGGGAGATGACCAGAGACTGCAGACACAGTACAGGAGATGACCAGAGACTGCAGACACGCTACAGGAGATGACCAGACACTGCGGATGTACTACAGGAGATGACCAGAGACTGCGGACACAGTACAGGAGATGACCAGAGACTGCGGACACAGTACAGGAGATGACCAGAGACTGCAGACATAGTACAGGAGATGACCAGAGACTGCGGATGTACTACAGGAGATGACCAGACACTGCGGACACAGTACAGGAGATGACCAGAGACTGCGGACACAGTACAGGAGATGACCAGAGACTGCGGACATAGTACAGGGGATGACCAGAGACTGCGGACACAGTACAGGAGATGACCAGAGACTGCGGACACAGTACAGGGAATGACCAGAGACTGCGGACATAGTACAGGAGATGACCAGAGACTGCGGACACAGTACAGGAGATGACCAGACACTGCGGACACAGTACAGGAGATGACCAGAGACTGCGGACATAGTACAGGGGATGACCAGAGACTGCGGACACAGTACAGGAGATGACCAGAGACTGCGGACACAGTACAGGGAATGACCAGAGACTGCGGACACAGTACAGGAGATGACCAGAGACTGCGGACACAGTACAGGGAATGACCAGAGACTGCGGACATAGTACAGGAGATGACCAGAGACTGCAGACATAGTACAGGGAATGACCAGAGACTGCAGACAATAAAGGAGATTACCAGAGACTGCAGACCTTTGGGGAGGGAGGGGGAACGGGTACCTGAATTTGACAGGTACCCGCTCCCACTTCCTCTGAGTTGTCCTTCCTTCTTCTTCCCGCGCCGGCTTCTGTGACAGCATGCGCTTTGTGAATGGCCTGGAGCCTTCTGGGACCTGTCATGTGTCCCAGAAAACACCGGACCATTCACAAAGCGCAGCTCTTCTCGCACATGCGCACTGGGCACCCGGCTGTCACAGAAGCGCTGCAGGAAGACTGCAGCGCTGGAGCGAGGAACAGGTAAGGTCCTGCAGGAGAGAAGAGCTGAGCGGCCGGCCCGATATTCTGACATGGTGGCGGCAGAAATACCGGACCGGCCGCTTTACATTCGCTCCATAAGACGCACTGACATTTTCCCCCCTTTTTTGGGGGGAAAAAAGTGCGTCTTATGGAGCGAAAAATACGGTATTTTTCTGATTATGATACTGGATAATTCATTTGTTTGATAAAATGAGTTTATGGTATTTTATTTGCAATTAAGATCATATTTTTGGATTTTGATACACTTTTTTCGCTTTTTTCTTCTTTTTTTAATATATATTTTCTTTTTATGTTCTGATGATGTTTTTTTGTGATTATTGATTAGAGCGCTACCTTTTTTCTAGTTTTGTCCAATATATTGCCCAATTCTTTCTAAATTATAAAAAAAAAAGTTGGGTTGTTTTCATGGTGATTTATAACATACAGCACAATGGGTGTTTTTGTAAGTAGGTTCCTCCGACGTGTGAGTGTATGTTTTCATATGTGAAGGGGGGGAACTATACATTTTTTTGTTTTGTAATTTATTATATTACTTAATTTTTTTGTAACTTTTTGTTTTTGTAAATCCTTACATATACCCAGTGAAGTGACTGACCTCAGGTGATACACAGGGATTAAACAAATCTTTCTGTATAAGCTCTACCTGTTTATCTGAGGTCTTCTTTCCTTTACAGCCCATCAATGTAGAAAATGTATAAAGCTTGTGTGAGCTGTTGGAAAAAAGGGGTGGAGAGATGAAATTAAACTCTTCAGAGCTCAGTGAGGAGAGTTGAAAGCTGATTGGAGGGAAGGGGACCCCCCCACCAACATAGCGCACAGGAACAGAGCTGAGGCTGTCAATCACAGGCTGTGTGCTGGAGCTCCCCTCCCCTGTCACCATTTTTGTCTTGGTGTCAGGAAATCTTTCCAGAAGTGACTCATGCAGATAGCAGAGGAAGGAGGCAGCAGATATAAATGACACTTGGTGCTCTGGATTGAGCCAAGTACCCACCATAAAGGGATATGCTTTGTTCATATTTCATGTCTGAGGTTTACAATCACTTTAATGAGACATCAGGAATCTATTAGACTACAGGTCACTGGAGCATTATCTGTGCTTGATTAGCTTCTTTCCCAGCCAGAGCACCTGGGGAAAGTGACAACCAAACCCAGAAGTGATGTTATACCCAGGGCGGACTGACCATTTGGAAACTCGGGCACTGCCCAAGGGCCCGGGGTCAGTAGGGGGCCCCATGAGATGCCCCTGGTACCTTTTTCATAGGCTTTTTTGAGTTTGGGCAAGGACACAGGGGCCCCCTGATCCCCTATTGCCCGGGGGCCCCATGAGTTGTCAGTCCGCCCCTGTGTTATACACGACACTTCTGCATCCATTCACCAAAGGGGAGATCAGCAAAAGAATGTCCATTGATCTCCTTCAGTTCCACCTGCCATCCCTTTCCCTAGCAGGTTGAACACCAGAGCCCGGGTTTGGTGGGGGGAGGTACCTTCGGTGTGGTATGGAAGTGATCAAGTGGCTTTACAGCCACCAGAATCACTTGCAGAAAAAAGTGTGTGTTTTTAACCCATCTTCTATATAAACGACAATGGTGGACAAGTGGTTAAACCCATTATTGCGCCAAGTAGTAGGTGGCACAAGCAGGGCTGCTGTTAGAAACCACAGGGTCCCATACAGCCAACCTGAGAGGGCCCTCCAAACCACAGGAACCCATGTAGCCAACCTGGCAGGGCCCCCCAAACCACAGGGGCCCCATAGAGCCAACCTGACAGGGCCCTCCAAACCACAGGGACCCATGTAGCCAACCTGACAGGACCCCCCAAACCACAGGGGCCCCATACAGCCAACCTGACAGGGCCCTCCAAACCACAGGGGCCCCATATAGCAAACCTGACAATGCCCCCAAGCCACAGGGGCCCCATACAGCCAACCTGACAGGGCCCATTCCCCCCCAAAAAAAACTACAGTTTACTATACTTATGAACTACAGTTAGGAATGAACACAGCGAGTGATCGGTACTGATCGCTCAATGTGTTAATTCAGGACTGGAAGGGGCTGGTAAATGTGACATATTTACTGGAACCTCTCCCCCACTCTCCATTCTGAAGGATCCTATTGTCTTAGTGCCTGCAGCTGCCGGTGCAAAGGAGGGTAGCCGGCAGCACTGTGGGGATGGGGGCACACAGGGGGGCCAGGGCAGCAGGGGGAATGTATGGTGCACAAGGAGGGTGATGTGGGGTAATTACTGGAACCGATCCCCTGTATGGCTCTCTCTGCAGCAGCTGAAAGCTGACAGGAGGGAGAGGAGAAGAAGCCGGCTTTCAGCTGCTGCCGAAAGAGCCATACAGGGGAACTGTTCCAGTAACTACCCCTCCGCTGTTCAGATCACCTTCCTTGCCTACATCTGATTCACCCAGCTGCCTGGGCCCCCCTGCTGGCCTGGGCCCCCTACAGGAGGACTGGTGGTACCCCCTTATCCACATCCCTGGACGCAAGACTCTTAAACTATGGTCACTGCAACATATCATGTAATTTGTCGCCATTTGCTATCTTTTTTGTGGCAATATTGCACATAATTTTCCTGTTGGGATTTCTCACTCTGTGCACTGATTACGAGAATACGTCACCCATCTGTTCGATATCTCAGCAGCGCTCATTCCCTCCTCTTCATGTACATATTGTACATACCATATGTTGCTTTATATAGGATGTAGAGAGAATATCCCTCCCTCCTATGTCTGGATTTACACAGCTAATAACAGGAGCAAAGTCTCATCCACCGGGACATATAGTCCAGGAATCTATGGCTTATGCACATGTATGATCCCTAGGACATGTACACTATATTGCCAAAAGTATTGGGCCGCCTGCTTTTCCACTCTCATGAACTTTAATGGCCTCCCAGACTTTGTCTGTAGGGTTCAATATTGAGTTGGCCCCGCCCTTTGCAGCTATAACAGCTTCAACTCTTCTGGGAAGGCCATCCACAAGGTTTAGGAGGGTGTCTATGGGAAGGTTTGACCATTCTTTCAGAAGCACATTTGTGAGGTCAGGCACTGATGTCGGACGAGAAGGCCTGGCTCCCACCGACCAGCTGGCTAAGATGCTAAGTCCAAGCACTAACTGGTATTCAGCAGAGCTCCTGATGGTAGAGATTGGTTTTGTTGCATGCTAGTACCAGGTAGCGGTCCTCAGTATGGCCCCACCAGGAGGTGACCCACCCTGGGTCCAGTACTGTATATCAGGTAGGGATCAAGCAGAAGCACAGTCAGTAAACAAGCCAAAGGTCGGTAACAAGTGGTTGAAGGTTAGGATCAAGCAGAAGCGTAGTCAAGGAACAAGCCAAAGGTCGGTAACGAGTGATTGCAGGTTGGGATCAAGCAGAAGCGTAGTCAAGGAACAAGCCAAAGGTCGGTAACGAGTGGTTGCAGGTTGGGATCAAGCAGAAGCATAGTCATGGAACAAGCCAAAGGTCGGTAACGTGTGGTTGCAGGTTGGGATCAAGCAGAAGCATAGTTAAGGAACAAGCCAAAGGTCGGTAATGAGTGATTGCAGGTTGGGATCAAGCAGAAGCGTAGTCAAGGAACAAGCCAAAGGTCGGTAACGAGTGATTGCAGGTTGGGATCAAGCAGAAGCGTAGTCAAGGAACAAGCCAAAGGTCGGTAACGAGTGCTTTCAGGATAGGATCAAGCAGAAGCGTAGTCAAGGAACAAGCCAAAGGTCGGTAACGTGTGGTTGCAGGTTGGGATCAAGCAGAAGCGTAGTCAAGGAACAAGCCAAAGGTCGGTAACGTGTGGTTGCAGGTTGGGATCAAGCAGAAGCATAGTTAAGGAACAAGCCAAAGGTCGGTAATGAGTGATTGCAGGTTGGGATCAAGCAGAAGCGTAGTCAAGGAACAAGCCAAAGGTCGGTAACGAGTGATTGCAGGTTGGGATCAAGCAGAAGCGTAGTCAAGGAACAAGCCAAAGGTCGGTAACGAGTGGTTGCAGGATAGGATCAAGCAGAAGCGTAGTCAAGGAACAAGCCAAAGGTCGGTAACGAGTGGTTGCAGGATAGGATCAAGCAGAAGCGTAGTCACGGAACAAGCCAAAGGTCGGTAATGAGTGATTGCAGGTTGGGATCAAGCAGAAGCACAGTCAGTAAACAAGCCAAAGGTCGGTAACGTGTGGTTGCAGGTTGGGATCAAGCAGAAGCGTAGTCAAGGAACAAGCCAAAGGTCGGTAACGAGTGGTTGCAGGTTGGGATCAAGCAGAAGCGTAGTCAAGGAACAAGCCAAAGGTCGGTAACGAGTGGTTGCAGGATAGGATCAAGCAGAAGCGTAGTCAAGGAACAAGCCAAAGGTCGGTAACGAGTGGTTGCAGGTTGGGATCAAGCAGAAGCGTAGTCAAGGAACAAGCCAAAGGTCGGTAACGAGTGGTTGCAGGATAGGATCAAGCAGAAGCGTAGTCAAGGAACAAGCCAAAGGTCGGTAACGTGTGGTTGCAGGTTGGGATCAAGCAGAAGCGTAGTCAAGGAACAAGCCAAAGGTCGGTAACGTGTGGTTGCAGGATAGGATCAAGCAGAAGCGTAGTCAAGGAACAAGCCAAAGGTCGGTAATGAATGGTTGCAGGATAGGATCAAGCAGAAGCGTAGTCAAGGAACAAGCCA